CTTTCCCTTCCTGCAGCTATCAGAGGAAGCACAAGGGGAGGCTTATTTTTAGCAGTTAGGAACAAAAGCCAATTGCGCCAGAGAGTTGTGGGTGACAAGGTTGCAAGTCACCTGGAAACAGTTCCAGGGACAAGCACCATTTTGAGACTGTGTAAGCTCCAATTCCTGAACAATGCTCTTCTGTGCTGTGGAAGACTTGCCAAAACAACTTCTGGAACAGATGCAGCTTCCGAGTGCCATCTGCTGGCCACGCGTCTGCAGATTTGCTGGCCTCCATATTGGCGTAAATGACGTAGAAACAATGCCCAGGAAGGAAGCTAAGGGTTGCCATGGATGCCAGAAGAGCAAGCCAAACTAGCAGATAAAGTGGTTTTCCTCCCTAAAAACGGTTCCTCTGCTAAGACAGTAGTTTATTTTTAAACGAGGAGTGGAAAATTAAGTTGGAGCTGCTAAATACTCTCATGTGTTTTAATGTGTGCACTTTGTAGGTAAAAGGCACCAAAGGAACATTCCTTGTCCAACCAGATCATTAAAGGTGATGTGAAACAGCATGGCAAATTGATATGCTACCATTTAATTAAGATCCAAAGGATGCTTTTAATGCAAATTTTACTTATTTTGGCAAGTCTAGGAATTTTCCACCTAAACAGTTTTCCCTGTGCAATCCATCTATATTTACTAACCAAACTGGCAAACATGAATGTAGAGGACATTCTTGCAGTTTCATTTTCTTATTTTCAGACAATCACAAATCCCATTTGCTTAGTTATTTGTAATGAATTTATTCCAAAGTAGCATCTTTTGTGATTTAACCTGCTGCAGACTTACCGCTGATTTATGATCATTTGCTATGATGATCAGCTGTTGTGCCAGACCATTCAAAAGTCTTGTTCGCAGGGAGAGGTCCTCAAAGTCATGGCGAAAAGGAAATGCAATTCCATCAACTACTACCAGTCGGACCTAAATGCAGAAAAAAAGGAAAAATTATCATTATTATCCTACAAACCCATGACAAAAAGCAGTAAGGCCTCTTTTTAAGTGCACTGGAATGTTTTATGTAAGATTATAACAATCTTTTATTTCATACTCAGATCTGCACAACAGCAGAACACCTGTTGTCCCTCTCTATATATCGGAGACAATGAGCCCTCCACAAGAGTGCAGGGTAAAGAGCCTCAAGCTCCAAACACACTAGCACCCTTGCTAAGTGCAGTACTGCATTACGCATAGGTGCTAGCTCAGACCATGGCTGCGCTAGCTTAAACTAAATGCTGCACTAAGCTCTCCCATTAGTTAACTCAGTACAGAGCTGCCCTTCTGACTGTTTCTAGTTTCAGAGCTCACTCACTTACAGCTAAGCTGACTTATTTCTGCAGCACCTGGTAGAGAATACAAAATAACAAAGCTGGACTTAAAACTTTGCAGAAGAGAAGCTGGAGAAAAAAAAAAAAAAGCACTAAATATCAGAATTGTACTTCAATCAACTCTCCACAAACACTAATTTATTTCACCTTCTCCCTGAAAAAACAAAATCCAAACCAAAACTAGAATACATGCTGTCTGCAGTCACAGTTAAGATAACTCATCTGATTCTCTGGCTCTTATCGGTGATCTATCTTAGAAATATGGATTTTAACAGATGCTTAAAAGATATTCCAGACACTATGCAACAGAGCTGAGTATCTGTCTTGCCTGAAGATGTTTGCTTGGCTGAATTATTTCCTTTGTAGCAATCATTAGCTGAAGCTAGAGCACAATGCTGTGGCTGGCTCATCACCCTTAAGACACTATATAAACACCAGTCTGGGATTTTTATTTATTCTAACTTCATTTGCTGTAACTGTTTTGATGACCCAAGTTTGTCTGAAATACAGAAGGGAGATGGATAGTCTTACAGTGTCTGCATGTTCAGATGTCACTCAAATCCTAGGCATCTACAAGTTCCTGCATTAATGCAGAAGACAACAAATTTGAAACAATGCAAGAAAACTGATTTTCTGTATTACAGATTTAACTCACTACTGGGAATTAGCTTTGTGGCTGCAACATACAAGCCTGCAGCAAACATCACTCTGTGAAAAGGCCCTGGGCCTCCAACTGAATAAAAAAAATTTAATATTAAAAAAAATATTAAATAGCTAGAATTAAAATATTCCCTGTTTTCTCATTTCTCCTCCTTCCTGCAAATTCTTTTCTATGAGCCTGTATATCTTCCTCATGCATAAGTTTTTGACTTTAAGAACAATCAATTTAACAGTATAAACATGAGTCATGCTAGAAAGGAACATATACATAGTTATATAACTTGCCTATCAGATAAATGTGGCCAGGCAGGATGCAATTTAGTTTATTTTCTCACAGTTGCACTGGTTATAAAATAGCAAACAAGTAGACTTAAAAGTATTCAGTAGTAAGCTATATCGAGAAAGCTTGGTAACACATGCCTTCTCCATGTCAGTTTGTCTCTACTAGACTTTCAAGAATTATGGTTTTTATGACAAGAGTATTTTCCAGTATAGTCTTTTTCATATTATCAGTCTTTCTCCTATTATTAATGAGATCTCAAACCAATTCATATTACCAAATGACACTCTCTACAACTATGTATCTCTCAAAAAAAACCCAAAACCTGGAGGTTTCCTGTGGTCCCAGTCTCAGCTCCAGGTCTGCACAGAGCGATCAGACTAATTTTAATAAGAGCTGGACTGCAACAAGCAGTCTCTCAAGTCACTTATAGCCTGTCCAAGGAATCACCAGAAGGTCTTACAGTTCTCCTGCAATTTTCAGTATTCTAGGCTCCAGGCCAAGCACAGATAATCAGCACAGATGGTATCAGAGAACTGCAGCCCAATGTAACTGTGCTAATGAAGCCATGTACTTTCCACAAGAGCAAACACAACAGGGCACCGTTAGTACCTGGCAGAGAAAGGGAAATACCAGACTACACTCAGCAAAAGTAAGGCTCCCATCTGTGCTTTCAAGAACATAACAGCTTCCAAAAATTGAAATGATATGCAAAAGACAATCTAACTAAACAACACTCTTTTGTGCTCTGTTAGAATGAGCACAAGTCATCTTCCCTGGATCCTGTTAGGGAGTGATCTGACGTGTAGAATTTAGAAATCTGGAAGGGAGGTGGTGAAAATGTGCCTTACAATAGCATTTCTCTAAGACACTGGGTACTAGGAAACTTTTTGGCTGTAGTCCACCCAAGAGTCAAGCTGCAGGCCCTGGTTGCTTCTAGCAACAGAAGATGTATTGGAAAGGAGGAGAAGAGTCACTTTCTGGATGCCAAGATGGTGCAGGATGCTTCTGGTCCTCAGTGATCCTCTAGGACAAAAAAAATGGTACTAAGCCTTTCTGATTGCCCTGCATCACGGTCATCACACACACACCTGGCTCAGAGACTCTTTTGTAAAGCAGTTTTGTGATGATTCATAACTTGGTGCTCATAGAAATGTAACAACACGTGGCAACATACATCCAGTATCCTTGCCTCAAAATGAAGATTCAGGATGATGGCAGCAGTGGTAGCAAAATTCAATTACTCTCAAGAGTAATTGGGAAGGGAATGAAAAAGCAAACAAGCAAGCGAGCTTTACGTTTGTACTCTGGCATCAGCCAATGTATTACTGCCAAGCTGATGAGGTACCAAGGTGTTACTCATGTTACTCTTACTGTTACCAGATGAGTATCCCTGAAAATCTTTACTGTGAAGATGAGTCACACTTCCGGTAAGTCTGCAGTAACCCTTACCTTTGAATGCTCTGAAAGAAAGTCTGGGAGAAGGTAGACCTGTGCAAGAAGCTCTATGTAGTCACGGCAACGGAAGTAATATATGTGAGAAAGGATACTTTCAAGAGAGAAAGTCTCCAAAGCTTTTAGATGATCTGAGAACAAACAAATACATGAGTAAATGAGTCAGAAGTCTGCACTAGCATATTGCTACTTTCATCACTCTATCAAACTATGCCTTCCACATATAGCAACAGCAAAGCCCCCAGAAACAGTCAAGGTAAAGAGTGTGGGAAGCATACCTTCCATCTGGCTTGAAAGTCAGGAAGGTGGTGAGCAGATGCTATCTCAGCATTTGCAGATAGATACACCAGAGCCTCCAAGGGAGTGCTCCAAAAATGAAAAATTTATTTCTGAGAAAAGAACTTTTCCAGTAAATCATTTTCAAGCGAGAACACCACCAGAGGACAACAGTGACTATTAATCATCCTCTGTTTAAAGTACAGGCAGTAGCTGATTTAACATGGTGTCCTTTTACCTCTGCACAAACAGAAGACTGCTGCATAAAATGCTCTAAGAGTAACAAAGTTGTGTCAGTATCTCTAACACACTGATGAATAAAACTCTTCATTAAATGCAATCCGGCTATTGACCTGATGAAGGGCCTGAATTACAGATACAGTTTTACAAAATGGGGCTTCACCAGCAACATTGCCTTGAGAAATTCTGCCTTTCCTCTTCTCCTTCCCCAGCTGCTCTTCCTGTCCCTGCGTTGCAGCACATTATCCCTCAGTTTTTCTGATTGGGTTTTACTGTAAATTTGATAATTAAAGTGATCTATGTTAACCAAAAGAGACAAAAACCCCACAAATCATCATGTAGAAAAATAATTATTCTTAAAGTAGATCAGCTCAGTCTGCAGCATGGCTGCACAATACTGAGGCAGTTCAGGTATGATACAGGTGGAAATAAAAGGCTGGCAGCAAGAACTCCTTAAGCCAGTGCTGTTGCTGAAACCCTCAAACTGTAAAGCTGCAACCAGTGAGACACTAGTTTCACTCAGATCCCAGCCTACTGGGCAGAAAGAAAGGATTGAGCGACATACCTTCCTCCTGATGAGCTTCAGCAATGAGCTGGCAGTGCTGCACACAGGCAGTGGCAATATCCACTAGTCTGTCTACCATAAAACTTCCTTCAGTGTCAATGAACACGGCTTCTCCAGCTACGCCCCCGAAGCATTCGGGGATCTGTACGTCTACTGCCAACTGCATACTGCCATGGGAAAGAGAAAAAAAGATAAATATTTACACCACAGAGCTATCCCCTCCCATCTCACTCCTAAAGTGACATTTCTGCTGAGGAACACAGGGAACAGGAAGCACAACAGCCATTACCATGGCTCTATGTAAAGTGCTGGGTAAGATTCAGAGATTGCAGTCATGACAACAAGAAAAATTAACTCTCTTCATAGTGAAATTAAACAAAGAAAAGTGATCCTGAGTTGCACAAAAGTAATCCAAAAATAAAATACCATAGCTGTGTTTTCCCAACACCAGGTGCTCCACAGATCTCAGTGATTTTTGTTAGTTGCACACCACCTCCCAGAATATTGTCTAGTGCTGAACAAAAGGTGATGATGAAGCCCTGGGCTTGCTCCTCTTCCAGCAGTTCCAGGGCCGTGCACTTTCTGGTGGCAGCTGATCCCCCAGCAGTCCTTGCTGCATCGCTGTGACATTCCTTCCTCACAACCTGTAACACTTCCAGTGCCTCTTCTTTGGAGATTCCAATTTCTAGAAGTGTCAAAGTCATGAAACACTACCTTATTTTTTGTAGACAGTGATTTATTTAAAGCATGAAGAGATAATTCAACTGGTTTGACAGAACCTGATTATTCTGCAGTGTCGCACAAAAATATCCCCCTTTTAGTATAGCGATGCACACAGCTTGCCAACATCCCTGGAACTAATGATGGGATTTTCAAAAGAACTCAGAGCAATGATGCCCTGCGTTCAGAATTCAGGTGACAGTACGTGATCTGCAAGTAAAACAAATCAAAACTGCTCTTCAGAGACGTGGATGAGATCTACCAGAGCAAGTCACCTGCCCTGCTCTGCATGTGCTCTCATACTAATTTCATTTGAAGGAAATAAGGTCCTGCAAAAGTGAGGTTGCAGACTAGTAAGTGACAGTGACATCTACTGATCCTACCCCGAATTCTCAGGGTACTCCAGGGCCGAGCACCTTGTGCATTATTTTTAGATTTGAAACACAGAGTGAGTAACAGAGGCGAGACACCCGCAAATATCTCAGCGTGTCTGTCTTTATGCACACATCTCTGTCGGGATCTAGCTACTTCACTAACAGCTTCAAAGGCAAAACTATTACCACCTATTATCACAGGTAATAAAACTACTGATAATCAAAATCATGATACACTTTTATACCGGCTGTGCATTTAGTTTCTTGAAAAAGGCAACTTCCTGACTTCACAGCAGCTTATTTTGTTTAAAGCACGTACAGCTGGGGAAAGGAGTGAGAGCACCAGAACCCTCTGGCTGTTCTTTTCCTGCATCCCAGTTACATCTCTCACTCAGGGTAAGAAGGATTTATCAGAATCGTGGTTTGTTTGGTTGTTTTTTTTCGCTTAGGCACACGGGAGCTGTTAAATACTGACCGTGCCCACTTCTCTCGACTGACCCGAGCTCTCGCTGGGATTTGTCCGGGCAGCCGCCCAGGCCGAGCCACGGACCGAGCGCTTCCTGTGCATTAACCACTTACATCAGGGAATCCTGCTCAAACCCCCTCCCCGCTAATAACCTACTACGAAACTCCCGCGGAAAGGCAGGGGCCGGGGAAGGGCTGCGGGGGAGACCCGCCCGACGCGGGGATGCTCCGCTACCGCCCCGGGGA